GGGTGGGTGAGGAATCAGTTGACAAGAGCATTGAGTTTGGGAGCAAAATAGTACACTTTGCTGACAAAGAGAGAAAGAAAAAAAAACATATCTTACTGTTACATATCCACATGTTTCATGTGAAGCTTCGTGACCTGCTTTATGTGATAACAAATCACAAAGATAAAGTTCTCAGAAGTTTCATAGCATTACATGCAGACACATAAAAGCAGGAGGATATGACAGGAAGGAAGATGGATAGTTGATGAGAAGTGAAAGAGAAAGGAGATTGGGATGAGCAAGAGTAAGAAAGTCAAGGCCAGTGGAGAATAATTGGTGAAAGAATCAGGTAGGAAGCGAAGCGAAGGAGTGAGAGGGAAAAAAAGACACAAAAGCCGTATTGCAGGTAGTTGGGTTACTGTTGTCTCTTTATTGTAACGTCAGTCTCTGCAGGTTTCTGCTCCCGAGGTCATGAAGCAAGATGAGTTAAAAGCCCCTCAGGAGGAAACTGGGGCATAGAAAAACTACCAGTCACTTATGAGCTCAGCCTTCAGCGTCTCAATACTCACATACTCACACACAGCAGATAGACTCTTTTGGTTCTCAGGTGATTATACGCACATTTTCTCTTTGTTTTGCAGTGTTTAACATTACTCACGTCATGCTCATTTGTCTCCTGCTGAATGTCATGATATGCTCACTATAAGGCAGCCATCACAATTCAGCTGTGAAAATATGATTGGCCTGTTAACTTATACTTGACGTTTGTGAAGCTCAGGATTCACAGTTTGTCCAACAAACTCATGCCAATTCGTAACGATTTTATGTGTTGGTAAATTCATACAGTGCACAGTGCACACTCTACATTTGCACCGTTTAGTAGGTTATTATCTGTTCATGCACCACAGGTTTAGGGTTGAGGTTAAGGATTGAACCGTAGTCCCCCCCCCTCCCCCTTTCTAAAAATCGCACTGTACACATACAAAATCACCACCTCATAAATTAGTTATGCTTTCTCATGAGATTGGGTTGGTTTGCCCCTAGTTATTGTAGGAATTATCAGGGAAGAAGTGGTTTAGAAATATATGTGCTTTGATGATGTGTAAATGTGATTTTTGAGGGCAATATTTTGATTATATTAATATTCTATCTTAAATCTAAAATCTTGACCATCTCCCATTCTCCCCTAAAAATGAATAATTAAAAAATAAATAAATAAAAAATGCTTTCCTTATGGATCATCTCTGAGGGGATTTGTACGGTGGCCGAGAAGTGCAAAGCAGATCACAATTCTGAAAACAAAATAACAAATTACAAACGCAAATGCAAGT